GAGAGAGGAGAGGAGTCAAGTCCGAGCTAGGGTAAAACGGGCACAAGAATGGCATACGTCCTCGGTTTCTATGCAAGATTACTTTACTAATAGTCTTATGCACTTGTCCAGAGAAAGGAAGACAAATAGCAACAAGTAAAAACTAGCATGCACGTAACTTGTACGTGCGCACATAAAAGGGTAGGCCAATTGTTACGATGTTATCGAACTAGTTCGTATCTCCTGACAAATTTCGAATGATGTATTTACGACAGCGAGGCAGTGAATTTTAAATAAACAGCAAATGTGATATTCTGATTAGTATAACCATGGATGAGATAATAATGGATTGGTGTCTTCGCAGTTTTTGGCGACATTGAGCTCAGGCCTGCCATCTAGCGGGAGAATTATCGTAAGTTAGGAGCAAGCCGAGTGAACGCCGCTGATTAGCATTGTGACACACGGGAGTGTCGTGTAGTAGCAGGCTTGTTTTGCAATTTTTCAAAAGGTTATGTCTTTATATGTCAGCAAAAGCGAAGAAATTAGTAGATTTATGTGCAGGGTCAGTAATAAGATAAGCAGTTCCATGTTATTTCATCATTAAATCGTGAAACAGGGAGTTATTGGAGGCTTCGCCAGCACGTGTCGTTTTCGCTATTTTTCACATGAGTCTTTACTTGGCCTAAATCAAACAAATTGTCCGATCAAAGAACAAAATGAACGTAAGTACTATCTATAAGCCTAAGGAAAAAGTTAAACGGAATTGCTAACGTCATTGCCGCTCAATATGTCACTCAAGACGCTCTATGAAAAGGACCCAACCAGTGCTGCGTAGTCGATGAAATTTCAGTGACTTTGGCTCCAACTCCGACTCCGGTATCCAAATATCGACTCCGACTCCTTCGGGCAGAACTGTCGATTCACACAGACTCCGACTCTGACTCCGACTCTGCAGCCCTATAGTAAGTCTGTGGAGTCGATGACTTTTCGGTGATGTTCGACTCATACTCCGACTACAGTTTTTGATAATCAACCGACTCCGAGTCGGAACAGAACCGCTGGCTCTGACTACAACTCCGCAGCCCTGGCCCAAGATAGCCGCCAACAACTTTGATGTGTGATCTTCTTCGTACATTGTGAATGTTATTTTAAACAAGGAGTGGAAAAGGGAGACGAAGCCTTCACAAACAAGGATCTCCTGTTGCGGATCAATCAGCTGCTGGAACAGAAAGGCATAAACACCACGCATCTCATTTCATCGTTTTCCTAACGACTCCAATGTCAGCACTGATCAATGCAGGTGCGAGCATCGATGTGACATTTGTGTACCAAGTTTGAGTGTTATCCGCCCAGCCGTTCTTGAGATATGGAAGCGGCACCTCGCACGTGCGCACGTGCAGTAGCACCCCCATAGTGACACATTGAAATGCATTGGCCACTGGGTGCCTAACTATTGACGAAGTTTTACTGTAATGGGCCCAGCCATTGCGGAGTTACTTTATGTGGAACAATTTCGACACCCCTAAGTTGGCACGTGACACGTGCCGTAACATTAACTAAGATGAAGAAAATCGGGCGAAATTCGGAGAAGAAGGAATAAGCCTACCAAATGTGTATGACATATTGTCAAACTGCTGTATACCATTGTGAGTAAATGGCCATATAAAAGCTCGTACAAGCCGATGGGACTGGGCGTTTCAATACACACCGTCTTACGCATTTTATTTTCGTTATTACCTAAAGGCTGCTTGACGTTTTTGGCTTTCAAGCATTTAAGACATTTTTTTGTCGTCTCAGGTCCAGTAAGATTACCTCCAACTCGTGGGAATATGCACTTCGAGCCAACTAACACACCACACCCACGTGTGCCATAATGCTGAGAGATGGCGTTCACTCGGCTTGCTCCTAACTTACGATAATTCTCTCGCTAGATGGCAGGCCTGATCCCAATGTCGCGGATCCCAATGTTAATTTCCACGAGACACCAATCCAGTGTTATATCATCCATGGTATAACTGCATGCGCAGGAATAACAGTACACAGACACAGATCATTGTGGCATTTTGGCATATATCCTGCATCATACCGGGCTTCAGGACAGAAATGCCTGTGTAAGTCATATAATCAGGCAATAATGCAATAAATCAGTGCAATAAATCAGGCTCATCGTTCCATAAACCGGGTCGAATGGGCATAAATCAGGATAGAATCACGATTTCACCAGCACAGCGTGCCGGTCGTATTGAATGGACTGCAGGGACCCCATTGCGTTTTTAGCAAACTAAAGTTCTTATATTTTTGGTAGTGTTTTCAGCCGTGATGATTGTACTTAGCAATTGAAAATAGTCATTTGAAACGTCACACTTCTTTTCACACGTTTTCACACGTCACACTTCACGTCACCTGACCGAATCAATGTTTCCGCGTGCTCCCCATTGAATGCAGGCCGCTGAACTCCTGCAGTGACCCGGTTACTCCCAGTCACCCGGTTACTCCCAGTGACCCCGCGATTGTCTGGGGGGGGGGGGGGTTGGATTCGACATTCTCTCTATTTTTTTCTTGAATGACTCATGAACGACCGTTGTTTCTTGATATAACAGGGGAGGGGGTCGGATCCGACCCCGCAAACGGTCATGGGTACGGAAATAAATAGCCCTGGCGGTACCGGGGCAACACATAGATTCCCCACTGATCGTTAAGCTGACCCCATTGACCGACCCTGGCCGGCGTCATTGTTTTTCTTTCACTGTTTTGAGTTATATTTATTTATATTTGTTTATGACAGTTGTAAACGTTTTATTGTTTGATGGCGTCCGGATTTATCTCTATTTTAACAAAAACAGTTAAACTATTTAAAATACTACTTGACCTTTAACTAGTTGGTTTTATCATACTAAAATATGTCTTACGTTTAAAAAAAATTATAATATACGGAAGCTAAGCTTACCAATCCAAGTGCCTCACGCTGACCTCATCACAAAGTCACTGACCTCGACACACTCTGACATCGCCCTGACCTCCACTCACCTCTCTGAAGAGTCGTATGTCGTACGTATTATCATCGTCAGCAAAATAAACTACGCCGCTGGCGGCGTATTTTCGCAACCACCTCAGGCCAGTGTTGCGATTAGTGACGCCTCGCGGGATTCGGCCCCAGAAACGGGGCTTCTTGGCCGGAACGGGCGCTGGCTCGCCTGTGGAGAGACGTCAGAAAGACAGGTGAGAAAAAATGTGATAAAGTAGGTGACGATGTGAGCAAATGTGAGCTGCACGGTGAGATGCGTATAGCTTATACGCGGAGATAAGTAGGTACTTCAGGGGATAGAGGGTAGAGGGAGATTTAAGTATGCGTGGAGGCAAAAAAAAACATGATCACATATGTAGGTCTGTTGAGCAATATGTAAGTGTATTACCTGATGAGAGAACGGTACCTGCAAGGTCTATGCTTCTAATATCTAAACATGAATAAAAAGAAGTAGAACGTACAATTTCCTATACGGCTGTGTTTGTTGTGACTTTCTACATTCTATGGCAGCTTGGTAGTGACAGGGATGGTAGCACAATTGAATACTAAGTAGGGCTGAACTGAGAGGACAGATTCCTACATAACATACGTCACATGACCCTGGAAGTCTTCCTTATTGCCACTTATTGTATTCTTATTGCCATTAGTGAATGCTCGCTTATGTTTATTTTTATTGTGTTGTTTGGCGTTTTGATGTGCTGATGCTGAACATGTGTTGGACTTTACATCCGTGAACCGACTGATTTATTACCGAGGCGTTGACACTTACGTATAGTGGTGAGTGTGCCACCATGCACCACTCCCACAGGAGCTATGTCTATGTCCTACTATTGTCTATAATGGTCCATGGAGCTTCCTACACTGCCTGCGCTCTGCATTAATTTCATGGGGCTGTTACCTAAGTCTTACGATAACAGGTTCTAAGAGCCCGCTTGCAGTCGGCCATTTGCAGAGTGGGTTCGGCGTTTTACCATGCGCCGAGGTATGCCCACAGCATTAGCCCGAGCGTGTGATAAAAGCTTTGATTGAAATATATATTTATTACTACATATCTGAGGTGGGTGTGTCTGTCGTCTGTCCGTAATCGAGGTCACGACTATTTCACTGTGGTCCCGACATGGTGACGTTTAACGCAGGATACACAAGCCATGTAATATAAGATGATTTTAAATCCCTCGACCTCCGATCTCGTGCAGCAAACTCAACAAATTCCTCGGTCCTGAATGAAACTTACTACCGGCCTCGTGTGATATTAAATACGCTATTATCCCGCACCGTTTACAGCGTTTACAATTGCTTCACGTGATATGAGAGAAAATTATCAGATGTCGTGTAACTGATTCGTTAAACGTCTAGACGAATAACAAAGTGTTAAACGTCTAGAAGACATTTTTGCCATTTGACTGCCTCCAGTTATTTTCAGCAGTATGCGCAGTGAAACGCAATAAAACATCACTTTCTGTTTCTTTTTTAATTGTTTTTGGGACTTGTATACCGTAGACAATGTAGCACACTAGGGTACACTCGTTTCGTCAGTATTCGTCTTCAAGCACCCATCAAAGCCACCCACCACAAGTCCACACCACAAATACCACATCAAATCCTTCAAACCCAACCCCCTCAAATCCAAGTCCTTCCTTACCGAGTAGGTGAACATGACGCAGTCCTGACCGTTTCAGCAGCTGTGCCACCGCCGGGGTCCTCTTCGGCGCATCTTCCACCACAATCCAGTAGAGGAACGGCTTTGCGTGCATCAGGGTCTGAGACAACCTCACGAGATCGGCCTCCTGTTCCGGCCGTGGATAGGTCGCTGTGATGACATACACGGTACGAGAGTCGGGCTCTGGTTGTGAGACCTCCCGACGCACCCGACCGGCGTGGGGGCCCTCGATTGTGGCGGCGGCCTCGTCTTGAGGTGTATTCAGGCGGAAGATAGTTAGAGCTGATATAATCAGAAGCAGTAAAAGGAGGATGTTGAGTTGAATGTCCCGTCGTACGAGTCGCCGCCACATATCTGTGGAAAGGAAGCAGCAGAATGAGTCGGTTTATCAAAGAGCAAGTATTTATTAGCAATACGAAGGTATGAATGCTTTCAGAATAGTTAGCCCAGAATAACATGGTGGTTTGGATCGCAACAATTATATGGTCAACGTGTTCTAGAAGCAATATGCCATTGTGTGCTGTATCAGAGTAAAAGTTCACTCGGGCTCATGCAACTGTTGTGCTTTGTAAACAGATGAAATATGTCAGAAATTACCTGAAAAAAAAGAAGAACAAAGAGGTGAGGATGTCAATGTGGTGAGGGAGACGATACAAATTAATAATTATCCGACAGTTCTTGTCTCCCTGAGTGAAAGGTAATTTAATTTCGACAAAACCGATACAAAATAACCCGAAGAATAGTTATATGATCGATATTTCGCACGCGAAAATCATAACGCAAGATGCGCAACGCTGCACAGTCCACACCTGCCCTTGCCTGGTGTGGCAGCAATAAACTAAAGGTAAGCCAACCACCAAAACACAAAGACTTCCCTTACGTATATTTTCGCAGCCATTGCCACGCCTTCTCGAACTTTATGCAAAAGATAATTCCGAAATGAGAATATCTGCTACGCCGTGAGACCAGGGCTGTAATTAACAAGATAGCAAGCGTAGCGAGCGAAGGAGTTTGTATGTGGTTTATCGGACAAATCGGAGTATGAGCGGCCCGACCCGGCACGGCCCGGCCCAGCCCGTGATGCCTTTGAGAGGCTTATGCTCGTAACTCAGCAACCGCTCGACCAATCGACAAGCAGTCTTCTGCATCAGATAGGTCCACCCTTTAAACCATGAACTCAATTCCTTTCAGTGCATTTGGGTGGCTAGCACAGCACGTGCCACGTGCCAAGTCAGGGGTGTCAAAATTGCTCCGCTTGCGTATCGTTCCTGAGAGATCAGCAACCGCTAGGCCGATTGGTTTGCATTTTTTTTGCAGGATAGCCTCGTCCCTTCCACCAAATATCGGACTGCTGTCGATGCGTATGGCTGACTATCACTGCACGTGCCACGTGCAACATTAAGGGGTGTTAAGTTTGTGTCGATTACAATAGCTCGGCAATTCCTGGGCCGATTGTGCTGAAACTCCGCGTGTGGAAGGCTCCACCGGGTTATGCATATCCATGTATCATGTTTGGGGTGCTGCTGTACGTGCGTACGTGCAGGGGTCGCTTTGAGATCCCGAGAACGGCTGGGCCGACTGCGGTCAAGTTTGATACACTATGAGGGACCAGTTAAATGTTAATCCTCGCCGGCGGAGGGGGATGTAACCCCCTTAGGTTTTTCGCTAATAACTCGTGTAAAAAGCGGTTGATCGCAACAAAACTTTAAGCACCCTCGAGTTGGTCAATTCTACATCTACCCTGAAAATTGCATGATCCTGACCCAAATGGCCTTTGACCTGTGTTCCACTTTCCGAGACCATGTTTGGCCGGGAATCGCGATTCGGCGTATGTCGGCTCGCATTAGCCGCGCGTTTGCAGTCTTTTCGTGGTTTCAAGCGTTCAAACATGTGATTTGATGTGGCTCCCATGCATTAGGGTGTATGTCAGGGTCACTTGAAGGTCTGGACAGGTCATTGACCTTTGATGACCTCGGTTCACTTTTTCGAGTTTTAAATGTTTCCAGGCTAGTTTTTGGAGCTGCATTCGAATTTGGAACCATTTGAACATTTACGAAGTAGTTTTGGTGCCTCGTATCATGTTACGAAGTTGTCAGAGGCGGTTTGACACGTATTACGAATACCCGGCAAAACCCTTACTGGTTGACCTGACCTGACCTGACCCGACTTGGCCTAAATGCATGAAGACATCATCTGTGATCAAAAGTAACATGATATTTGTGATCAGCACCCCGAAAAAAACATAGCAGCCACACTTTACGACGTTCAAACAGGCCCCGATTTTCCCGACTTTAAGGTCAATGACCTGGCCTGGAAGATCAAGCAATGACCTAGGACCTTAAAATTGGGTATCATTGGCTTCCTCCAGTGACGGGCAACATGCTCGTTTATTTCGCGAAGCTCTAGCTCGATCAGGGGCCAAACGCAAGGGGGGTCGTACCCCCCTTGTGCCGTCGAAGGACGCGAAATGGCCTGTGCCGGCGAGGGTTATGGTGCCTCGCACAAGTCATTTGGCTCACGTTTGGCCCCTTCACACTTTTGCACCTGCAATGCTCACTGTCTCGCTCGCTCGCTTATCGCCACAAAAGTCGTCTTACCGGTATGTAAGCATGTAATTAAAGAAACGCTGATCGATAGTCGATACGGAACATTGTGATATGCCCACGGAAAATCAATATCGATTATTTCGATATAATTACTGGGATATACGGAGACACTATATAAAAAAGATAAGGAACGTTTCATATTGCCTCACGCATTTTGGTCCATGTCAATTCCAAGATGTTAGGAAAACCACAGCGACCTGATACCGATTGTCCGATTACCTATTTGAACCGTGACTTATGGTTTGCCTTATGGCCCGAAACGACTCTTTCAGTACAGCAACAGTAATTGCTTCTGACATAATGCCATCCGTAGAAATGTGGCCTGTTTGATGGTACGACATTACTGGCTACGCCTTCATTGCGAACATTATTTACATGTGCGGTTTCGTTGAGGGTATATTCACACGTGATTTGCGTAATCACTTGTCATGTTGTAGAATGTTGATTTATCATGTCATGGTCATGTATTCAAGTTATGATCCTTCCTCTCCTGTTATGAACTTAAACCGAAAAAGTTCAATGCTTTCTTCAACAATAAACAGTTAACTACCACTTACGAGAAAATTCAAAGCGAAACGATTTACTGCAAAATGCCAGAAAGCAACACGCGCTCACCTACCTTCCTTTCACTCCCTCTTCTTCTCTTCTCCGCACTTTCTGTCTCTCTGGTTCCCCGCTACCACCTTTCCGCCGTTCCCACCACTGCTCAACACTCGATTGATGGTTCCGTACCTGGCCCGTTCCGGCCGGGCTGCGCCTGTACGGCCAGACTGCCCCGCCGAGCCGCCGCGCCACCGCCGCGCCGCCACCGCTACCGTCGCTGCCGCCGCCGCCGCCGCCGCCGCCGCCGCCACCGCCGAGCCGCCGCCGCCGCCGCCGCCGCCGCCGCCGCCGCCGCCGCCGCCGCCGCCGCCGCCGCCGCCGCCGCCGCCGCCGCCGCCGCCGCCGCCGCCGCCGCCGCCGCCGCCGCCGCCGCCGCCGCCGCTGCCGCCGCCGCTGCTGCCGCCAACAGGTAGCCTTCGCTCAGGGTAGGAGGAGCCAAATTAAAACATGACGTCTGTGACGTATGCTGGAGGACAGAGGACAGGATGCAGAGTTGTGACTTGTGATGTGGTGATTGGAAGAGGAGGGAGAGACGTTTGGGACATGATGTTTCGGTAAGTTGGATATGCATGCAAAGTGCAAGCATTAATTTCTCCCTTATCCCGCGCCCGGGTGGGCCTCTCAGCCAACTTCGCCATGGTGGTGGTCGTGGTGTGTATGTGGGGGGGGGGGGCTTTTTGGCCACACCAGGTTATCTCGAAAAGTAAGCAAGCTAGAAAGACCCAGTAAAAAGCAGTAGATAGTTCGTTACAAGCTCTTCCAGAATTATAAAGGTCATTTTTATCAAGTCATCACTGAAGTCACTGGAGGTCACCAAAGGGATTTTTTACGATTTTTTGTTCCCGATTTTGACAACTTTTCACAAATTAGAGCATAATTCGGGAGGCAAAAGAGCTACAGCGTTGGGGAAAAGCGCATTCGATAGCTCTTTTAACCCGCGCCCGGCTTTTTTTCAACAATGTAACGTCTGTTTTACGTGTAGCATTTTCCAATTTCCTACAATGCAATATGCAAACAGCAAAATATTGAACAGCCGTGAGCCGTTTGTAAGTAAACCATGGAGGACCTATAGGGCACTTGTGGCATTTGCCCCTCCCGTAATGCTTGACATCGTCAATTATTTGCCTTTTTTGTATGAAAAGAAAACTTGTCAATGCTCAATAACTATACAGCACGTTTGCTCAAAGACGTACGCTCAGAGTAAAGCACGAGAGAGCGAAATGCGACGAGTGCTCGGAAATTAGAAGACGTTTTAAGAAATATGCCCTTGAGGCGTCTCAAACATCATTTCTACATCCGTCAGCGGGATTATACAATACACAGCCTCTTTTATATGCAAAGACGTCTCAGTTTTCACTCGTCACTCTGCAGTAATAAAACACGACAAAACTTCCACAGGCAATGCAAATACACATACACACTTCCGCATCCTGACCACAAAGGTCGTTTATTGATTAACACCTCAAAGCAACGCACACTCCAAAGCTAATGAATCACGTAAGCAGTCGGGTGTTTGCGTTATATACTCAAACATTTCCCTGCGGTTGTCTTTCTTCTTAGATCGTAAGCTTCTAGCTCTCTATGTGGAAGGAACGCTGTCTCTGATGTTTGCCCGCGTATGACGTGTGCGGGATTTTAGCGCTAGACTGTGGCATTGGATGCGCAGCTTACATGGTCCGTGCGCCGGCAAAGGAGCTCGGCATCTTTTGAAAGTGTTGGAGAGAGAGAGAGAGAGAGAGAGAGAGAGAGAGAGAGAGAGAGAGAGAGAGAGAGAGAGAGAGAGAGAGACCGAGCGACGACAGACAGACAGGCAGGCAGACAGAGACAGAGACAAAGAAATGTAGTGTAGTCAGAGTCGAACTGAGCGAAGAAATGAGTCAAGTACTTTCAAAAGCACTGGGTCCGGCATAAGTTTTGTCCTTTATAAGAAAAAAGTGCTTCGTAAGTTGCTATATAAAGGGTAGCGACTCTTTTATCATTCAATGTATTTCCCACGAACAGGGAGTTACGAACAAATGCAATTAGGTATGCTGGCAACATTCAACAAGGCTGCATTTACACAGGCACAGGTACATTGTACGGCACAGGTGGCTTGATTTTCGCCGGGCGCCGAGGCTGGTCGCCGCCTTCTGTTTGTCCAGGTCCTGCTGGACGACAACCCACAGCTCTTCGACCAGGATTAGGTCTAGATAGTAGCCTGCTAACACATCTTTTCTGCAGAAGTCCGTCAAGTTTGATTTGCACCACCGCTGGGCCTTGGCATAGCGATGAGCTGGCGCGCCGTCCTGCATGAAAATGCATGTCGACCTGTCATCGACCATGCGTCGACCCAGAACTGAGCCGCTGGAGGCGAAGTTGGCTACAACAATCACCCAGGAGCGAGTTTAAATATATACAGTAGTGCAGCATAAACTATCTTTGAGAGTCTCGAGATATTCACTAGATATCTGAGCAGGGATCATGAGGACTGAAGAGTCTTCCACACAAGCGTGTTTTAGCATTTGCGGCGTATTTTGATCTGAGAAGAGACCAGCATGATCTTCAGTGTATTTATTCAGTATGCCGACGGTGCGTCTGAGAAAATGCAATCGATTGATCTAAGACAAGGCAACTATGGTCCTCAGTAGGGCATGGCACCGCTGGGACTCTGAAATCAGAACTAGTGTTCTCTGTATAGGAGATATGGCGGGTCTAACGCACGCTTTACCTACTTTTAGTCTATACTGTACATACGTATATGTGCATGACAGGGCATTCTCGAAGAGGCTAACGGCGGGAGCATATTCACCCACGGAGCAGTAGTTTGTTGTTGGGAAGCGGATGTTTCATCATCAGTCATCACTAGGTATACTTTTAGCGTGTCTCAGCCAAAGCTGCATAAAAGCTAAATATTTCGATATGGTCAGCTTGTAAAATGTTTCACCATTTTCAGAAACCAACAACGTTTGTAACCATTCTCGTCAAAGGAAAAACGGAAGCCATCCCATGGAACAGACCTACCACAGAATGAGCAGTCGCCGCCACGCGGCTCAGGTTTTCACACTTGGGTGAGAATATGATCGTGATTTAAACGACAAACGTTTACTTGGTGGTCGGACATGATGTTTACTCGACCAGCTCAGCTGCGGAATATAACGGTGATAACGTCACTCTCACGCCGCTGAAATGGGACACAGGACTACCAGTGTGCTGATGTCTTACTGCGACATTGTCAGTCTTTGGAGTGTAATTGGTGTCATTTATCATAGTGTGTGCGCTTATTTATGCATATGATCAGTATCGCTAGTACGGCGCAAAATAAGAGACGCGCTGGGACAGTAATGGCGCGTCTGCGGCGCTGCTTTACTGTTCACCGCGTCACTGAGCGAACAAATAATAGATGTTCATTTCAGTGCATTTTATATAGGCCTCCCGTCGCGCTGCAGCTTTTGTTGCAACTGGGTCAATAACTTGCTTCGATGCCGCATGGTTGGATAGCTTAGCGGGATAGCTTGCAAGCTTTTGATGATTGTCATTTTTCCATCAGCTGCCAGAAGTTTTGTTCCGGCTCATATGTACTCTACCCTCGCTCTCTCCCCCAATCCAACAATCCCCTCCCCATCGGCCTCGCTAGGATTAAATGTGTTATTTATTTTACATCCCGTTTCACGTAAACGGCAATGACCCATGCATTGAAAAAATACAATTGGCCGTTGACATCTATGTGGGCACTGAATTACATGCAGGGCGTACATTATACAGTAGGTATAATATGCTACTGCGTTCACTATTCAACAGGTGTCTATGATCTAGTGCATTATTCATATATGAGGACTTTGAGGAGCCTTGGACAATGCCTCGGAATTATGTTAATCTTAAAGGGACTATCCCACCTTTAACATGGGGTTTGAGTTGAGATAGCCAAGTTTGCGGCGAGGTTCAGAAACCACTATCTATCTAGGTTGCAGCCCCCGCGGCCTCTTGGTGTTGAAGAAATTCGTTCCCTTCATTTGAAAATGGGCCTTGTACAAGGCCCTATCTTCAACATGGAGCGACCGTTAGTGTGACGTCACCTCGTTTAGTCATTCTGATTTAAATGGGTTTGTTCGTTGAAAAATCGCTTAAAACTTGGTCTGAACTTTGTTGTGGTGCCTACAGAGTAAAAAGAATCAGCTTTATGACAGTAATGTGGCCTGGGGAAGGAGGTAATTTTGGGCTGTGACGTCACATATTTGAAAGTTTGTGTTTGGAATATGGGAAGCCTAAGATGTTTAATGAAAAATAAATGCCAGAACCGTGTTTCTGGTCATCCAATCTATAAAGTCGGGCACAATTTAACTGGTTTTAACAACATTTTAGAAGGTAGGATAGTCCCTTTAAACGGCAGATCACTGAAACGGCATTAATATTATTTACCCAGTATCCATACCAATATTCTTTTTTTCCTCTATATACTAGTTATATCTGCTATCTGGTGCTCACGTGTCAAAATCTGTTTGATATTCGTGAATGTACCTACGACTAAACCATCTGTTGTGTCTCTGCTAAGTTTAGGGCTGCGACAGTAGGTAGCCAAGGCGTCTCACAGGGTCGAAAAGAAGAAGGAGAAGAAGAAGAAGAAGAAGAAGAAAAAGAAGAAGAAGAAGAAGATGAAGAGAGAGAGAGAGAGAAAGAGAAGAGAGAGAGGAGAGAGAGAGGAGAGAGAGAAGGAGAGAGAGAGAGAGAGAGAGAGAGAGAGAGAGAGAGAGAGAGAGAGAGAGAGAGAGAGAGAGAGAGAGGAGAGAGAGAGAGAGAGAGAGAGCTCAGTGTTGCTCCTGGGTGAAGAGTCGCATAGTTTTAGTGCTGATTGGGCGGTATTGAAACTGACCGACCCGCTGTTCGGCATTAACTCCGACCGCGCACTATCTTCTATCTATATTGATAGTGAGTGAGGAGAGGTGAGGAGGTGGTTATTGGGGCGACTCAGGCTACGGCAGCGGACGGCGGGCCACGCGGGCCGGTCCCTCGGCGGTGGGCGTTACATGGGCATCGTTTGGAGGTCGCCGGGCCCCTGTGGACAATCAATGGGGCGGCCGGGGTGACGTGTGTTACCGGCCACTGCTAGGAGACGGCTGCCGGCCCCGGACGCACCCCGGCCGCCACCAGCACAGTGAAGCCTCAGCACCGGGCGCACGAG